CTGTTCAGTGTCAGGAGGGCTGTGATCAGTCTTACATCGGGGAAACTAAACAGCCACTGGCCAAAAGGATGGCCCAGCACATAAGATCAACATCATCAGGCCAGGATTCTGCGGTCTACACTCATCTCCAGGGCAGCGGTCACTCTTTCAAGGATGAAGATGTTCACATCCTGGACAGAGAGGAATGATGGTTTGAGAGAGGAGTAAAGGAGGCCATCTTTGTGAAAAGAAATCGTCCATCATTAAACAGGGGTGGAGGCCTCCAGGTTCAACTGTCCCCCTCTTACAATGCTGTGATTGCTAGTATCACTCAGCCCTCTGTGAATAGTAATCAGCCATCAGTGTGCTAATGATCCATTGTTAGGCTGATGGTCCTTCTTGAGCATGTGATCAGCTGGTTTTGGTTGTCAGCAGCAAACTGGTTGAACCACTCTGAGAAGGTGCTATTTAAGAGACTGAGCTGAAAACAGCACCTCAGACTGAGGAAGTCTCTTGGATGAGAGACGAAACGTTTCTATATTTTTTTGCTTTTTTTTTTTTTTTTTTTTTGAATGTCCAGAGGACCAGATTGAACTTTTTTAGTTATAACTTTGTTTCAACAGAGAGGCTCAATACATAAACAGGATCCCAGTGTATTTAGAATTGTTAGCTCTGTTCCTAAATATAATCAACATTTGGAATTTTTGAAACATTAATAAACAAAGAGGTTGTTTATTTAGTTTTGTTTGTCATACACTCAACACATACATATAATTCACTCTTTCATCCCATATCTATATGCAGCTTTTGTTCATTTTCTGGATCCCTGATGTCCAGTATTACTGTTCGCTCCTAATTTGCCTCCCCCCTTTAAATCTCCATCCCACCATCCTCTCTCATCCTCCCCCTGACTTCCCGCCTTGCATCTCTCACTCTCTTTGTCTCCCATTTCTCGCCCTGAAACCCTCAAAAACAAGCTGACACGCGCCACTGAAGGAAAGTTGTTTTGTTTTTCCCCATTTTTCCTCTCTTTCTTCGTATTCTCCTCTCTCATCACCACAATCAAGAGACCCCCCCCCCTCCCCCACATCTCCAGCTTCCAGCACCCTCCTTCCTTTGTTATGAGAGTGTGCGCTCTCGAAGAAGCGAGAGCAGGCAGAGATGGAGGCAGCTGAGGACTGACTCTCTAAAGCATCTACGTCAGAAAAAGACACTCTCCACATCAGACACAAAGGCACCTGGCTTTGGCTTATTGCATCTCCTCCTTCGTTCCAGTTCTTCTCCATCTTGCCACCAAACTCGAGAGTAAACACATCTACGCACAAACAGGAACTGCATCCTGTTTTCAGTCTTTTTCTTGACACCACACCCTTTAGGGATGCTTTTATGAGCTCAAGCTACAGGTAATCGTCTTTGATTGAAAAGACTTGAAGATGAAGAAAATCTGGTCCAAGAAGAGATTTCAGGTGAGTCTGCTCTTTTATGGATAAACAGATTTATGCAGTTTTTAAAAATACATGTTATTTTCTTTAAAATATTGGATTAAAATGTCATACCCTTTACTTGATAATGATGCTTTATTAAACAAATGTTTTGATTAAAAATATGCAATATCATCAAATATTGAATTCAAACATTCTATATCTATCTATTATATCTCTATATATTTGAATATCAGCAGTTTTGCTGAGAATATGCACTAGTAATGAGATTGTTGAATGTGACGGCTGCTGCTGTCTGTCCTTTATGTTTGCTCCTAAATTGAGGACAAATAGCACATAGAAAAAAACATTCACTAAAACTCAAATATATAGCAAACTGAATACATGAAATGGAATCATTTTCTTGAAAACGTCACTGAAAAACGGTACAATTCTCCATATACTTAGTTTCAAATGTTCCCTTCACTCATGTAGCGCACGTGAATCATGGAATATGTATTTTGCTTTGGCAGTCGTGAGAGTTTGGTTAAATAACGAGTAGTTTATTTAACAGAGTTTACAAATTTGGGGCAGAAGAAAAGTGTGTCAGTAGGCTACTCTCCGTGGAGACAAGGGAATCAGGCCAGTGCTTCACAGGAGCAACAAAGTGGGCAAAAAGAACAAGTTTATTTTTGTCCAACACACCAAAGTTCATGCTCAAAAATCAAGATAAAAAAATCCAACAAAGTTCAGGCAGGTCATCTGGATGGTTTCTTTTTTTGTTGTTGAGACATTTCGTCCTTCATCCAAAGGACTTCATCAGTCTGAGGAGCCACAACAAACTCAGTCCCACAAGCAGCACACTCACATAGTGGGCCAACCAGTTTGCTGGTGAAAAGATGGTTTCTGAGGCTCGCCCTCTCCCCCCGTCAACTCCTCTGGGGCAGCCACAACCAGAGTGGTTCAAAACATCAAAGTTCATGCTCAATAATCCAGGTAAAAAAAATCCAACAAAGTCTTATCACCATTGTGATATTGCTATGTGAATTTGGCGTCCCCCGGTGTTGGTCTTGGAGGGTTGACTATCTCAAATTCTCCTGGACATTATGTGAACAAGAAGCTCTGCTCCCCCATCCTCTACCCGCTCCCTTCCCCAAGGACATGGACCTGTGTCAGAGCTCTACCAAGCCGGCTGAAAAACACTGCACCATCACTTATCAGAACTATGGCTGTGTGTGTGTGTGTGTGTAGGGGGGGTGGGGTGGTGGTGGTGATCTGGACAGGGCTCATGGACTACTTCCCCCCCAATTCACCCCCCTCCCCGGGCCCCCCCCCCCCCCCCCCCCCCCCCCCCCAGCGCAGCAACCTAGGCAGATGCGAAGGCGCCGGTGGCTGCGTCACTCCATCGGTCGGCCTGTGCTGGGACCCCCACCCTCACCCACTCCACATGCATATGTCTTTATGTCACCAGTGTGTTGCTTTTTCTTGTGCTGAGGTTTTTTTGTAACCTCACACTGTGTCCTGATTTTTTTTAATACCTCCCCTTTCCTCATGTTTCCATTTTCCTTATCTAAATGAAAAGGGCAGCGCTTCACATGAGGCTGCAGCCTCAGACACCCCCCGTCTACCCATGTTTTCTTTGGCCAGCTGTACTGAAATGTAATTTTGTTGCACTTCTGTGCAATGACAATAAAGGTTGATTCTGATTCTGATAATAATGATAAGATACCATTATCTTATCACCAGTAAACTGGTTGGTCCACTATGGGAGTGTGCTGCTTGTGGGACTGAGTTTGTTGTGGCTCCTCGGACTGAAGTCTTTTGCATGAAGGACGAAACATCTCAACAACAAAAAAGAAGCCGTCCAGATGACCTGACTGAACTTTGTTGGAAGTTTACTTTTGATTTGCCTGTTTTTAAAACTCTACGTAAGTGTCAAACTCTTGAGAGGTGCATTATGTAACATCCAGCTCAGATTTAATTGAATAATATTTTGTTGATTTGGATTTTACCCATTCTCTGTATTTACCAAATCTGAATTTCCATCCAAGGCTGGGTTCTGTTGATAGGATTGCCTCAAGGATGTAACATTGAGAATCGCAACAAAGAGAGAGGCTTCTGGGAGGATTTGTAAAACAGCAATAAACACCAGGCAGCCGTTAATCAAACCACCTGACACAAAAGCATCAAACAACGGGGAGCGCACAGTTAACGCAGTGGGAGATGACTGCGAAATGAGTCATTTTACTTTTGCTACTTTTGCTTTCTATTTGCTGGAAATATGTGAGTCATGCTGAGGAGCTCTCAATGGTTCTGATTGGTGACCGGAAGGCAGTTTTCATGTATACTCTACTGAAATATATCCTGGGGAATATCGTAATTTAATTTAATTTTTTGCATAATCTAAAGTGTAATCTCACTTTTACCAGGGTCTCGTTAGACTGTTAGACTTTATAATACAAGCCAGCCTTTGGTCACAAGATGAGTCGAACTATAGTCACAGAGTGGGCTTTTTTTGCAATTTGATATGGTTCGTTATGAGTTTTTACTCAACACACTGAGATCTGGTGTTAGTTCTATTCATCCACGTTCTTCCACTTGTTCTGAAGTTGGGTCTCGGGAGCAGCAGCGTAAACAGGGAGGTCCAGACATCTCTTTCCCCAGCCACCTCTTCCAGCTCCTCTGAGAGGTCTACCAAGGCATTTTCAGGCAAACAGAGACACATGGGCTCTCCATCATGTCCTGGGTTTTCCCCAGCGTCTCCTCCCCGTCAGACATGCCTGAAACATCTGCCTAGGGAGGTGTCGGGGAGCATCAATACAAGATGCTCAAACCACCTCAACTGGCTCCTCTTGATGTGGAGGAGCAGTGTCTCTACTCCAAGTCTCAGATAAAAATAAATAAACGTCTCACCCTAGCTCTAAGAGATGGTCTAGATGGGGGGGGGTACTTTATTTGTAATACGTACAGTTTGGTGTCTGAGCTGAGCTGCTACAATCTCCGCTCCCCATCTAGAAGTGGCAGAGCAGAGTAGGGGGTGTGCCGTGGGGGATTTGGTAGGTAGGGCACTCGGTTCTTTTGACAGGGCGGTGCGCCATCCTTGAATAATTGTTGGGGGAACACCAGACCACCTGTATCTATGATCTCATTCTTTGGGTCACTAAAGTTTATAACCATAGGTGAGGGTAGGCTTGTAGACCAACTGGTAAACAGAGAGCTTCACCTTTCCATTCAGCTCACTCTCCATTGGACCAGCACAGAGTCCCCAATACAGCAGACATTGTTTTGGCAATGATTGCCACAAAAAAGCAAAATACATGCAATCATATTTTAGCTTGTGCTTGTGTGTACAAACAATTGTTACCTTCTGACAGTTTCATGAAAATCCCCAGAATAGCTTTTGATCCAGAGCTAGTATATATTAAAAGCACTAGCTCCAGAGCTAATAAATTAAATATCACAAGTTGATTAATTTTGATCGCTTTGACCCATATATTGTGCTTAAGGACTAATACAAAATATAACTTTATTGCCGCATGTAATAACTTTTCAGCCTTAAATCCTTGTTTGTCTATATTACAACCAATATATGTCATAGACCCAGAATGCATAGCACTGGTCAAATGGGGGAGTGGTGGCGCAGAGGTTAGAGAAGGTGGGCCTGTGATCGGAAGATCGCCGGTTCACGCCCCGGTACCGACAACATCAAAAAAAAAAAAAAAAAAAAAGTGGGTGGGGTAGGTGAAGCACCCACACCTGCACCCACCCTCATTTGCCCCACTCTGGGCCCATGAGGCAAGGTCCTTAACCCCCATCTGCTCCCTAAACAGGTCTCTCTTGAAAATGAGTTCTCGTGGCTCAATGAGACTACCTGGATAAATAAAGGGTAAATTAAATAAAATATGGCTGATAGTTATTGGGTAAGCTTCATGCCAATAACTTTGACAGTTTTTAAGTAATATTAATATTTTTGTCCAAGCAAATAAACTCAAATTTCTGAATTTAAGGGAAGGTGGAAGGGAAGTCTGAGATTGTCATCATTGTAAGTTCCTATACAATGGCAAAATTAGTTCTCTGCATTTAACCCATCACACATGAGATGCACCCGTGGCAGCACGACGGCTCAGTGGTTAGCACAGTTGCCTCACAGCAAGAAGGTCCTGGGTTCAATCCCTGGTTGGACCTGGGGTCTTTCTGTGTGGAGTTTGCATGTTCTTCTCGTGCTTGTGTGGGTTTTCTCTGGGTACTCCTGTTTCCTCCCACAGAGCAAAAGCATGCATGTTAGGCAGCCTTCAGGCCCAGCCTCCCTTGCAAAAGAGATATGTGATCTCAGTGGGATTTGCCTGGTTAAATAAAGGTTAATAAAATGTACCCAGATGGAGCAGTGGGCAGCTATGTAAGCACCCGGGGAGCAATTACAGATTAGGTATCTTTCTCAGAAACACTACGATATGTGGGAATGGCTGGGAGTCAAAACGCAACTTTCTGGTCCCATGTCGGCTGCCCTACCTCTACCCCATCTTAAGTGAAATACATCAGAGTTTTATGTTGAATAAAATATCCTTTCATTATCACTTAAAAAGGGCAACACACAAAGACAGAAGAATATTTTTTAACCCAGTTTACTTACAAGGACAGACGTTCCCACAGGCTTACACAGATGTTACATTGAAGCCCCATTTGCGAAGATCTGCAACAGGCAGTGTATAGGAAATGTTTTTATACACACTTATCAGCACGATGACCTCGGCCTCTTAGACTCTGAGGCGTCAGGTGCCTGCAGGCTCCTCCTTGAGAGAGAAAAAGAACTCTCTGACCTCACACACACGGTTCAACGTTAATTTAACATTAGCAATGATAAACCTTTCCCTAATTTCCCCTGACATTTTACTTGATCCATAACTAGCAGCAAATGTCGCCATAAAAACTTGTGCTGTAAAATATACATTGGACACGTTTAGTGCAACATTAGTATCGCAAAGGATTGCAGTAAGTTGTAGGCATAGCTTGCCTGCCAGTAATACATTCGACCAACATGACAGACTATACAGAAGACAGATTTAGGTAGAGATGCTAGCGCACATGGAAAATGTTAGGAACGTTGTAAGAACAAAGTAAAAATGTGGGCAAAATATGGCTTTATGGTAAATGGACTGTACTTATATAGCACCTTTCTATCTTATCAAGACTCAAAGTGCTTTATAACACAATTTGTACCCTCATTTTCCCATTCATACAGCACTCTACTAGATCTATACAAAGTGCTTTATCACATTCATACACTGATAGGACACACATCGGAGGCAATGAGGGGTTCATTGTCTTGTCCAGGGACACTTCAGCATGTGACTGCTGGTGGAATAGCACCCTCATCTTTCACATTGTAGGATGACTGCTCTAACCACTTAACCTCTCAGCTAATATTGTTACCAAAAGGTTTTATGATATCATATATGCATGTTTTCCCATGTGCCATAGCTTCCTCACAACTTCAGCTGTGACAAAGATCTAAAGACACTTAATTTTAGGTTTGAACATCTTTATTCTCAACTGTAGTCAAACTATATTAAGTTTGGGACAAGATGTTTTATACATGCAGGCAAAAAAGCAAGGTCTAATTTCGGTTTGCACATCAGGCTTCTGTGTAAAGCTGGATCTTTAGCTGAGACTGCTGTTAGAAAATGTTTTCTTGTGTCTTGTTTCAGAGAACGGGGCATTCCACTTGGACATTTGGCAGACTGGCCCATGGTGTGTTGTCAGTATGAGCTTCACGTCAGTTCTGTTTGCTTCTACTGTATTGTGTTTGTGTTCTTGTGCTAAAAATGTAACTCCTCGGTTTATATTTTAAATGCTAGTTTGTTTGTGCGTTTCTGTTTAGCTGCACACAAGTGGGTTTTGTGATCCACCCCCACAAAGCAGTATTTCTACTGCTGCATCTCTGTATAGATGTTTAAGTGGAAAACACCTCACCTCAGTTCTTTATGGAGTCTTATTTTGCAAAAATTCTCGCTTTTCTTGACTCAAGCCAACGTCCAGAAACCAAATCCTATTTACAACACCACTGAAGTTATAAAAATCCCTTGTAATTAATGTTGCTGAGTCAATTTCCCTCGCTTGGTGTGCAAGCTATTTACGTTGATTTGGTACCACCGTTTGTCGCGCTGGCTTTTTTTTCATTAGCTTCTGGAATGATCTAATAAGGATCTGACTTAATGTGAGGTGCAATGAGGTGCAACCTGTTCTGTGGTTGTCGTCCTCCTCCTCCACAGGCTCTCTAACCAGTAAACGTATCTGTCAGCCGACCGGCGGTTTGGCTGCTGATTGTAGGGTCTAATGGGTACGAAGAGGATTGGTCGTGTGGGTGAGAGGGATGCTGGTTTCCATAGTAACGGTGCTCTCCCGTCTGCCCTCTCTTGCTGCCACTATGGAAGCGAAGTTTTCCGCTCCTGCCGAAAACAAAGCTATGGTAAACCTGCCTGTCTTGATTCGTATATTGCTCTGCCCCAAACATCTGTCCATCCATCCTGTGTTTTTTTTGCCCTTTGTGGTTTCTGTATCCTTTTGTTTTTCTTTTCAATTTCCTTTTTCTTTGATTGTTTTTCCCTATTAAACATGGAACACGCCACACTGAGTTGTCTTGTTTTGCTCTTCATGAAGTTTTGATTGAATCTTCAACCTATTATAGTTTCAGTTGCATGCATTATCTCTACTTGGGCTTAAAAATCAAATTCAAGACTTTTTTTAAATGGGAAATTAGTAGGTACAGTATAATCTGTTGAGAGTTTGTTTTATTATGCGTTGATTTTTCAGAGATCATTCCTCCTGTTTATCTATCAGCCAGGTATTTTTCCAAACCAAGGCTTGTTTAAGGTTATTATGTTTTAATTTCAGTCCATTTGGTTGAATCTAGGAACTCAGAATACGCAGATCGTGGTTTTCTATGTCAATTCCTAGTTCCGATTGTTGTATAATTCTGATTTACTAATTCCAAAATCCAATTTCTTTCAAGAAACTATCATTACAACTTAAAATTATATGGATAAATAGATATTTTTAAACTTTCGGACTGAGAAGTTTTTTTTTTACATTATCCTCCTGGGTCCCTGTGTCCTCAAATGAGGACATTGATTTTTTAAAATTTTTTTAGAGAACTGCTTATCATAGAAAGCTGAAATTTAGGTTTTAGAATTACAAATGGAAATTGGGGCCTTCTGTCCCCAATTTGCAAAGAAAAAAATAAAATGTAAAAATAAACCTACTGTCCTCATATGAGGACATCATTTATTTTCCAAAACTACTTCCTGTACCATGACAGAGTCTAGTTATTTAACTTATTAGGTCCTAGTAACCACATGTACCTTGGAGAAAGAGAAAATGCGCACCAAACAAAAGCTTCAGTCTCTTTTCTATAATGAAATCTTTTTTATGATAAAACGTTGTTTGGTCATTGTAAACCTACAAATATAATCCTGATTGCTAGAATGGTTGAAAATAAATTGCATTCATGTCCTTTATTAACCAGATTATATGTTGTTTATTTGTTTACATACTTTATAAGAGAAAAGTTTACCTGATTACAAGTATGTTTTCTTAAGTCAAACATATTTGTGAGAAAAATTTTAAACTTATTTACTATTTAGTAGGGATGCACGATCTTATCGGCATGGTATCTGTTTTGACCAATATTAACGATAAAGTTAAATATCGGACATTGGCCATTCCATCAAATTAACTCACAGATATAAAAGGCGCTGTATTTATTTATTTTTTTAAAATATACAGTATTTTATATACTTTGTATTTATATAGTGTTACATCATTTTCAACCCCCTATTTGTCATCTGCATTTGGTAGCAGGCTAAATTGACAAAGACCATGCAGAATAATGTAGCATTTTAATTCCACAGCAGAGAAAGCTATGTAGTCCCTGTAAGTAGGTCTAGGGGAAAAAATATCGGTATTGGTATCGGTTATCGGCCAAATAAGTTTTAACATATCGGCATATCAGATATTGGCCAAAAATCCAGTATTGTGTATCCCTATTATTTAGATGTTTAAATCTGGCTTTATAGGTCCTAGTTTCAGGTCAGGGTAAAAAAGCTCACTTTCTGACCAATCATTGCATCAGTACTTTGTTGAAACATCATTTTCACCTTTTGCCTCCGTTTGCCTGTCCCATTATTCACCCTCATTTCTCCCTTTTTGAATTTGCATCAATTATATTAGTTAGTTATTGTGTTTTCATGTTTTTTTTAGACTCTGAGACCACTGAGGATGAGACTACCGAACCTCAGATGGAAACCAAACAAGGGCCTGGGAAGCACCAAGAAAAAGCCGGACGAAAAGGCCCTTCAGGTATTTGCAGATAACAGTTGACATTTTTTCAGCTTTTTGTTTGTTTGTTTGTTTAAATTCCTAAACTTTTATGGCTGCAAGCTGGCACTATTTGCGAAAGATGTTCCAGAGTGCAGCCCTGGCAAATTCAAAACATTTATTATAGTGTCCAGGCTGATTTAATGCAGCACCAGTGTCGCTGCCAAAAACACACTTGTACAAAATGATGTTTGGATGCAGATTGATAGATTTAATGGAGGCTGTTTTCTGCTTGGCCCACGATGCTTGTCAGATGGAATCCAATACTGGAGACTGTAGTAATCCCTCAGGGTGTGAGGCAGCAAGGTGACACACTGCCCTAGTTTTCAGCAGGAACTGGTGTGTGCAGCTCCACTGGGAAGGTACAACTAGAAGAATCGAGACTTTATCTGCTGTATAATTTAGGGTTAAACAACAAGACTCTAAAAGCCATGACATGAACAGAAGAATTAATGATTTTAATGAGAATTTTATTTTTAGAGCTCTAATTTAAAATAAAAAACTGTTGTTGTCTCATGTTGGATTGACGGGTCAACTTCTCAATAAAAAATTCTCAATTTCTCAATGTCAACTTCTTCAGCTAATACAAAAACACCTATGGTTCTTATTTTTGGACTAAATCTATTTTTCAGGCAGCATGGTGGCACAATTGGTAGAGCCACTGCTTCTCAGCAAGAAAGTGGCATGATCGAATCCTGACTGGGAACCTGTCTGGGTAGAGTTTGCATGTTGTCTCAATGCATGCATGGGTTTTTACCGGTCACCTCACAGCGACCCAAAACATACATGTCAGGCTAATTGATAACTCTAACTAGTGCTCTCCACGTGTGATATTTTTAGAACTTGTGACTACGACTGTGCAACACTCATTTTAAGACAAACCCTCATAGCAGACCATGTGTTGTTCAATGGCAGCACATTTTTTTAGCCAGGTTAGCACTTGAAGAAAATTGGTAAATGACATCGAATTATACCAGGAGGGCCACAAAACATTGTGAGTATTGTGCCTGTAACAGTGACTCAAGGTACAGCAATCTTCCTCACATGGAAGGGGTATTTATCGTCACGTTCCCAAGCTGAAGACAAGACGATCTCAGAGAAGTCTGGATTAGAGCAATGGGACGGGCTGGATTTGGCTGGGTGCAGACATCTGTATCACCATCTGTTTCCTAAAAGGATGCAAAAACAGTTGCTCAAGCGGTAAATGCACAAAAAACTATGCACACACTACAAGTGAAAAGACAAAGATAACAAAATCCCCACTTTTTCATCAATTCCACCTGCTTTCCAGTCTGTCAAAGACCTCATCACTGTAGCCAGCATTTCAACTGAACATTGTGTATTTACTGAAGTCAGACGTGTCCAACTTGGTGCTGGGAACATCTTTTTCTGTTGAGGTTATATGATTGAACCTCTGCGTTGAAGCCATGTTGAGCATTCTTACTATGATGATCCTGCCCACATAAATGACTAAGGTGCAGAGCTAGGGAAGATCTGGGCTAAGATGGCCCATCAATGCAAAAACGCCATCAGAACGTGAATGGTTGTTTGTCTCTATGGCCCCTTTGCCACTGATAAGTACAACTCCAGTCGGCTCTTGTCTTTTCAGTTCTTCTCAGGTGTAGGTGAGTTGCTACTGTAACTTGTTTCCACACTCTGTGGGTGGTATCGTAACTGTTCTTTTTGTGTTCATTCCACTTCGTCCGCTGCAGTCCTTAACCGTCCTACTGTATAATTAGACTTCAATTTCCTTTAGATATCTTGGCACTGCTTATAAGTCCAGGAGTAGCCATGCTGCGCAATCATCTCCGATATCTCTATAAATGTGCTCATTTTTTTGGGGCGCCATCCGTCAACACGATCAGCGAGGAAATGGAGATTTAGATGTAGTTTCTAGTATTGCTGAGTGGGTTATTCAGTGACATAGCTCCGCTGACTAATCAACGGCTGCTGTCTTCTAGTGTCAAAAGTGTCACCTTGGAGCAGTCCACTTGGAACCATGAACAAGGTGGTCCCATAAATCAGGCTGATCAAATCAAATCAGGGGTGGGTACTGGCAGTGGACAGGCCCTTAATGTGTCCCTGTGATGGACTTGCAACCTGTTCTTGGCAGTATGAAGTTGCGCTTACTGTCACTGGGATGTGGTCATGTGACTGTGTGTCTGCACTTGTGTTTGACTGTTGGTAAAATAGCTAATCTACTAGGGGAAGCTGAAAGAACTTCATAGAAAGTTACCAATGGATATAGATCTACAAATGGTTTTTGGAGCCAAGAAAACTGAATTTAGGAAATGCAAAACTGGCTCAGCGTTTGAAGCTTAGTGGTGATATTTTTTTTTACCTTGATGTGTCCTCTTTGTGTACAATTGATGTGTTTACTTTCTTATGATGAGCTGATTCAGAATCAATTCTCTCAGTCAGTCAAGCAGTCTGTTTTACATCCTCAACTCTGCTGCTTGTTCAGGATTCCTTCTGTTAACGTAAAAGGCTGACAGCTTTTTTTTTTCTTTTTGCTGCTAAAGCACATTTGTCTCTGTCACTTATCACTAAAACATCAATCATTACCTGATTTGCAATGGAAGTAATTTAGGTAGTGCTGGCTGTAAATTTGCTATGAGTTTTATTTTTGGTTTTAAAGGGATCTCCGACTACTTGCATATGTTAGCACTAATATGTTGTTATTTCGCTATTCTACTAAAATATGTTGTTTGTGACACGTGAAAACTCGTAATTACTTAAAACATTATTTATATTTATTACATTTTTCATTTAAGGACGTCATCTTTATTTCACCAGTGTAATGCATTCTGGGACGATGACGTACATCAGTTGTAGACTAGAGGAAAATAAAACACAAACAGTCAAAGCTAAAAAGTCATAACGTGACATTAAAGTTATATTTTGTATTAGTACCCAACGTTTCCCCTAGTTTCCTTATCTTGGCAAGGTGCTCAGATCTTCCATGATTTTTGTAGACAGTGGGGTGGAAAGTGGGGGTAGAGAGACCAGTGTTGCGCACTGTTTGTACCGACATATTTAGATTGGGGGGGTTGAGTGGAGATGAAGCGCTACCTCCATAGACATAACTATTTAGCTAGCACGTCTGTATTGTGCGTCACTAGCTTAGCACTTATCAACATGGGGTGGGGGGTCAGTAGACAGGGCACTCAGTTCTGGTGACAGGGTGGGGCACCTTACTTGTATAATGGTTGGGGAAGCACTGGTACCCAAGCACTTACGGGGTGCAACAATCAAACATAATCAACTTTTGATGTTTAATTTATTAGCTCTGAAGCTAATACTATTAGCCTTGGAGCTAATGCCATATATATTATCTCTTGATTAAATGCTATTAGCTCTGGGGCTAACATTATAGATAGTAACTCTAGAGCTAACACAAAAGCTGAGTCATTTCTTCATTATCCTTTCTGTTAATACACTCCAGTTCAAATTATTCAAGGACAGAACAAAATTAACATTCAAGCTAAATGGAGCTTGCACCAAATCAACCTGTCATTTACGCAGAATGCATTGTAGCGTGAATAAAATTGTAACGTTGTTGTGTCATTAATGTTTAAAAATTTATAAAAACTAAACAGCCCACAGTATTTTTACTGTCTTGTTTTTTCGTTCGTACTCATCTGCCCAGAGAGACTCATGTCCGTGTTGTTGTTCGGTGTATAGTTTTTGCACTATTAAGTGTTTAGCATATTTCTTAGTTGAGCGTATTTCATAGTTTAGTGTATTTTTAGTTTAGTTTATGTTTAGTTTAGTGTATTTTTAGTTTAGTGTATTTTTTAGTTTGTATCTTAGAGCTTATTACTGTTTTTCTTTTACCATTTATACTTTTGTTGGATGGAACTGGGAACCTGTATAAACAATTTCGTTCCACCACATGTACCGCATGAGATGTGAATGACAATAAAGAAAACCTTGACCTTGACCCTGTTTTTATAGCTGAAGTAATTATTTATCAAATAAGGTCTAATGTTCCACCTAGTTGGAGATCCCTTTAAGATGTCAGTAGATCATCTATCTGTGTGTTTCAGGAATTCTTGATGTTAAAGCCTGAAACTGGTCTCTGTCTCTGCAGGCGAGGGAGGGAGGATGATGGACTACAACCCAGACGCTGCAAATCGCAGGGCCACTCTCCCCGGCACCTATGACCCGGTGGTGGAACGAGAGCTCCGTGCTCTGGGTTCTCGTCCTCCGGGGTCACATTTGGACCCAGCCAGGCAAGCCTTCAGCGGGGGTCCCGCTGAGGGGGCACCCCCTGTTCGTCACCTCGGCGTGGAACCCCTCATCCGGGCATCTCATGCTAACCTGGCCCGGCCCGTGCAAGGGTCAGAGGAAAGTGTTTCTGTCGGCAGTGACTACTATGGGAGCATGTTCAGCCTCTACAGAGGGAGAACATTTTCGATGCCCTTATAGCACATGGTGGTTTTAATTTTTTTATTTCTACAAAGAAAAAAAAACATAAGACTGGCCACGAATTCCCTCTAGTTGCAAAGAAAACTGGCATACATTGCACATTACATCCATTATGGACCCAAATGTCAAAAACATTCTTCCATTTATTCATATGTTCAACTTTTTGAGCTATTCTTTCTCCATTTTATGCTTTGATCACACTTTCCTTTGACTCGCCTGATTGCTGAGGGCTTTGATTTTGGTCTAACAATACTTATATCAGGATTGTAAATATTTATAAGAGTCATTAGGGAGGATAATTTGTGCTTGTTTAATAAGTATTAGCACTTCTTAAACCTTTGATGCTGTTCACCCTTTGCACGTTTCCCGCCCACGTTTTACTCAATGCTACGTCTTTAGCAGTTTTTTGTGGCATGCTTCGACTTATCACTTATTACCACTTATCGGCATGAACTTTTTCACAAATTTACAATCATGTAAACCACAGGTTCTTTTGAGGCATGGCATTTTAGTATTTCAAGTCAAGTGGAAACATTCTGACCAACTTTGTTTTAAATTGATGTTTGAGCTTTCTTGGTTTAAGTTTTTAGACTGAGTTCTTTACAGAATTGCACATGTCATGTCATGTTTTGTTGCAAGCACAGAACTTTTTAAAATAGGAAATCATTAGCTGGAACACACAAATGGACACTCTTCTGCATCTTCTCCTCCAAAGCCTTGCTGATGTGCTTGATCTCTAATGTCACCATGTCCCCCTCGATCCTCGTTCCTCCAGGACTCAAACTGCTCCTGAGTCACGGGATATCTACTCCAGTGCCCCGACGCCATCTCCCCAATCGCCTTTTAGCACAGACAAAAACAGCATCAGTGCTCCAAAACAAGAGCCCGATGACGCCAAATTGTTGGACCTTCAAGCTCCTAAGCCTGTCCAGGCATCCCGTGTTGACGATGTCATCAAGACACCCAAACTAGCCCGTGCAGGATCCAAGATATTTGACAAGGTCCGGGCTTTTGAGGAGCGAAGGAGGAGTGTGGATCTTCCAGCTTCCAATAACTCTGATGATGGTGTAAAGAAGACTAGAGGCCCAAGAAAGGAGGAGGGACAGATCCAGCAGAGGAGAGCTGCATTCCAGCATCGAGCGTCCTCATTGGAGGACAAAACGAGCTACTCCCAGAAGGTTCAGGGCTACCAGAACAAGTTTACAGAAGAGCTCCAGAGGATTAAGAAACTTGTGGGGAAGTCGAGCCTAAAGAAAGCGTTTTCCACTGAGCAGCTGTGTCAGAAAGACAGGCCTATCGCTGGGAAGGTAGAGCCCATTCCTCAGCGGGTGATTCAAAGGCTGGAGGCAAGGGAACGAGCCCTGGAGGAGGGAGACGCTGGGGGGAGAGGAGGAGACGGCAAAGTGCAGACTTTACTACAGGCGCAAAGCAGAAGTTCAGAGGATCGTAGAAACAGGTCTGAACAGGAGAATATGACACAGACAGTGGATGGCTCATCGTGGGGAAGCATAGGAAAGAGCTCTGTTACCATGGAAACGGCACCGGTTCACCAGTTACCAGGACAACCACTTCCAACAGCCATAAGGAAAAGCCCAATAAGGTTTGAGGGAGAATGTCTTTATTGATATAAGTGTCTAAAATTATACAGGAAATTGTTTTTTAAATATGTGATCTCCGACTGCATGTTGGCCTTGATATTATTAATCTATTCAACTGAAAGTTGCTGTTTGTGACATAAAACTCCTAATTACTTTAAAAAAAATTACAAATATTTATTACATCTTTCACCTAAAGACAACGCCATATTTTACTGGTGCAATGCATTCTGGGTCATTGACGTACATCGGTTGTAGAGGAGACCATAACACAAGGAGTCAAAGTTGAACAGTTATAACATGTGACACTAAAGTAACATTTTGTATTAATACTTGTGCACAACATATGGGTTGGAATCAGTGCTTAATTCGAGCTGGATCCTGCCAGAACAGGATCTGGGAACTCTTTTATTTTGACAGGGTGTGTTTCAAAAACTGTTTGCTTGGATCTGGTAACTCTCAGGCTTAATAGTAATAAAGTTATGAACAAATATGACTGCCTCGAATGAATAAAACTTATATTGAATATGTAAACTGAAAATAATCATATAAACACTAATTTTAAATACAACAGCCACTTACGACTTCTTAATATCACATACGAGCTGACTCTTCAAGTAGTATTTCCGCTTCTATCCTTAAAAAAGTCCACCCCTAAATGAGTGGTGGGGGGGAGTGCTGAGCTAACGAGGCAGTTGTTCGCAGGCAGGAGCCCACAGGCAGCCGCCATGAACAGATGGAAGAGGCGCCTGGAGGTTTTACATGTTGAGTCGGACAACAACGAGCAAGGACAGTGTCGGGCTCTGAACCATCAAGTAACCTTCAAATATGCTTGACAGAAGCAGTTTACAAATGTAGGTAAACGTAGATGTTTAACAACCCGTTAAAATACACCAAAATGCAAGAAATTGGGGGAGTGGTGGCACAGAGGTTAAAAGATGGGCTTGTGATCGGAATGTCACAGGTTCACCTCCCGGTACCGTCAACATCAAAAATGTGGGTGGAAAAGATGAAATGCCCACACCTGCCTCCACCCTCATTCACCCCACTCTGGGCCCCTGAGCAAGGCACTTAACCTCCACCATCTGCTCCCTAAACAGGTCTCTCTTGAAAATGAGTTATTGTGGCTCAATGAGACTACCTGGATAAATAAAGGTAAATGAAAAAAAAAATCACATCTACTATATTCTGAATTTTCTGGGGAGGACCCCAACCCCCCCGCGCGCTGACCCACCCGCTATTTGCATTCTAGCATCAGTCGGTTTACAAATTAAGCCCTGGTTGAAATGATCCGCTGTGATCAATTTATGATGTTTATTAGCCCTGGAGCTAATGTATTAGCTCTGTGACTAATGCTATCATTATAAATTAGCTTTGGATTGAATGCTGTTAGCTTTGGCACTAATGCTATTAGCTCCTGAGCTAAAATCGTATATATTAGTTCTAAAGTTAAATTTGAAGTTCAAATTCAAGGACTGAATGTCTGATGACCAAAATTAACATTCAAGCTGAATGGAGCTAGCCGGAGCAAACTGTCTGCATCATTTACCCAGAATTCATTGCAATGTAAATATGATCGTGACACTGGTGAATTATAAAACAGGCTCCACTCTTTTTTGGTTCAATTTTTATAGCAGAGGTAATTGTTTTTCAAATAAGGTCTACTGTTCAAACAAGTCGGAGATCCTTTTAATAAAACTTAAGTATAAAATTTACAAATTCTTTCAGTATTATCCAAGATACTGTATGTTTCTTTTTTATGCATGCAGCAAAACATTTGAGAAACAAAGAAACAAAAAATATTTTTGATTCTCCTTCAGAAAACTGGGAGCAGATTCAAAAAGAGACACTAAGGTGGACGATAAATCTGATCACAGATCAGCCAGCCCATTTGGGAAGAGAACATCTCCAATAACTTTGAGGGAACCAGGGTTCCTGTGTGCACACAAACCCACCCACCTGACCCCGTTGCCTGCTCCTTCACTCAGCCCCATGTCTAAGAAGAGGAGGGCGAAGGCGGTGCAAAAATCTCCAGCCTTGAAAGTGAATGCCAAAGACGAGCCTGTGGATCAGGAGCACATGAAGAGTAGTGCTCGTAAAAGCAAGAAAGGCCATTCAGCACATGTCATGTCTCCAAAGGAAGGTAGGTGTTTGTTTGTGAGTACTAATCACATGTCGATTTGTAAAAAATACATCCGTCAACCCCTGACAAACAGGATGCATTACAGAGCTGAAGTAACATACAGAACATTACAATCTTCAGACTGAGTAAAACAAAAATCTTTTTTTTTGTTTGTTTTTTTAGACAGTGGTTTCTCAAAAAAAAAAATTATGGTGGCCATGTGAAAGTCCTGGGGTGGCACACCAAAATCAAAAGCCAGAACCGAATTTCAGATTTGTTCTGTTGTCATATTTAGCTCATTTGACAATTATATCTATAGGATAGATAGATAATAACCTTCTGATATGCATACATTTACTTTAGTTTTATTATTTTATTCGCAGTTGATATTATTAATTGAGAAAAGCACCATCAATGTCAACTTCTTGAAGCTTGTCCTCTGTTAAATTTTAATTCATATATAAAGAAAATTCAGAAAACCTATTGAGACCCTACTTCCTGATGTTGAGAACATTGGTTTTACTGTACACCTCTTGTCCTTATTCAGTGGGACAGGATTATATTTTATTTTTCATTTTCACCAATGTGATCTGTAGTGAGAATAGGGAGCAGGTGGAAAGGTATGCTCTGGAGAAAAGAGGAATGAAAGTCAGTAGGAAGCCAATGAAAGAAGAAAATTTAAAATAAAATCACAATTATATGAAGGTTGTCTTGTTACCAGGCTGTTCTTTTGATGACTGGTCTGCTGACGAGGAGCCCACAGAGGGTCCCAGGTTTGAGAAGCCCCTCCAGGACATTACGGCGTCATGTGGCCTTCAGGTCACGCTAACATGCGTCATCACTGGTAGACCGGCACCTACAGGTAACAAAAACAACAAAACTTAATGATCTTACTCTGCTTGCTGTTCAGTTTTATTTAAAGGGACACCCGACTAGTTGGAACAATAAACCTTATTTGAAAAACAATTACTGTAGCTATGAAAACAAGACCATAAAATTACTGTAGCTTCTTACCCACAAACTGCTGTATTCAGTCCCATCTGCTCACAACAGACTCATGTTCAGGCTGCTGTTTAATACATCGTATTATATTACATTATTATTGTTTAACATATATCTTAGATCCTTGTATAGTGTTTCTTTTTTATACTTTATATTTTTGCTATTTTTGGATGCAACTGGGACCTTGAGTACACAATTTCGTTCCACCTCATGTACCACATGTGATGCTAATGACAATAAAGTCACCTTGAGTGCTTAAACCTTGAAAAACAAGACTGTAAAAATACTGTAGGCTGTTTAGTTTTTATAATTCTTTAAAAGTTGTTGACACATGGACATTGCCATTTGATTTACTCTGCAATGCATTCTGGGTGAATGACATAGACAGGTTGTCGGTGCTAGCTCCATTCAGCTAGAATGTTAATTTTGGACATTATATGACACTCAGCCCTCTAATTTGAAGCAGAGAGTGATGACAGAGATGAGAATGAAGAAATAACTCTGCTTTAGCATTAGCGCCTGAACTAAAAGTATTAGCCCCAGAGCTAACATGTATAGCACTAGCTTAAGAGCTAATATATAAGATGTTAGCTACAGTGCTAATAAATTAAACATCACAAGTTGATCAAGTTCGATTTCTCGACTCATATATTGTACATAAGGACTAATACAAAATATAACTTTATTGTCACATTTTAAATTTTTAGCCTTGTCTCCATATAACCGATGTTCGTCATTGACCCAGAATGCATTGCGCCGGTAAAATAATAATGGTGACATACTTAGGTGGAAATATTAATAAATATATACAGTCTTTAAGTAATTAGGAGTTTTCGCATGTCACACAGCAACTTTTACTATAATAGAGAAATATCTACAAATTAAGGCCAATATGCGCACGTAGTCGGAGAACTCTTTAAACAGCACAAGTTTCAAACTGCATTTAAGAAGTATAGAGAAAAGAGATAACTCAAATCAGAAAATACAGCAAAAATATGAATATTCATTGAAATCTGGGTGTAAAATCTGTAAAACAAAGAGTGTCTTTCATCGCACGGCCTTTAAAGAGCATGGTTCTGTACGAGCTCCTGCGTGGGAGTGTAAATGTGCTGCTTCTGCCTTCGCAGTGACATGGAGGAAGAATAATGTGGAGCTGCGGAGCGACGCCTTCTACGTTGTTAAGTCTGAGGGAGAGGAGCACAGCCTGGTGATAAATGAGATGAGGCCCCACAACGCTGGGTTGTACTGCGTTACAGCTGTCAACACGGTGGGCAGTGCCACATGCAGCGCCACCCTCTACGTCCAATCAGGTGAGAGGGCCATGAAGAGAGCGACGTAGCAAACTTTTTAGTTGCTCATTACAAACCATGAAATTAAACATAGAAATGTATTTGGACTTTATACTGAATGGCACAGTTTACTCTCGTAGTTTTCCAGATATATTGATGTGCAGTTCTGAAATGCAGGTACACACAACGTAAACAAAGCTTAAATCATGTGAGTGTGATGGTTTGCTGTTATGGATGTATAATAATTTAACATTTTGTATCAATCCAATACCAAGTAAACAGGATGGGTATTACGGTATCGGTTCAAAACATTAACCTAAAACAGCCGCCTTTACAATTTACCATAAGAGAGAGCATTGTGTTGGTATTTTTCGCATTTGAACCAATATGAAATCACATTTTTGCTTGACACTATTAATTAGCCATTAATTGGGTTAATTGGGTTGCCTCATAAGGCAGCCACCTATTATTATTCACTTGACAAGGGTTTCTTTTTTTTTTTTTTTTTTTTTTTTTTTAATAGGATAGAAAGAAAGAAAAGACAAAGTAAGACTCCAAAATATAAGAAATATATACAAATAGAGCACACGTCAAAACACCCGGCCACTGTCTGTTCGCCTGCAAAGAACATGACAAAACACAGCAACAAAATACATATGTATAAAGAACTTAAAATATTCATGGCTTTGCAGTAAGTTTCCATAAATATATATACCCATACCTACACCTATATACATACATACATACATACACATGAATATACACTCACATACATATCTATATATCTACATATAAAGCCTACATAAGCATCCCTGCTTCTATTTGTGTGTGGTTGTGAGCAAGCATAAGTGTATAAGGCTTCTCTAATAGAACATTTATTAGTAACTGTGAAGCAGCAGAGACCCGACCCCCAAGACCAGAGGCAGACGAAAAAGGGGGGACCAGAGCCCAAGACCCCAGGAGGGACCCCGACCGCGGAGCCCCCAGAGCCACCCACACAGGACGAACCACTCACCCACCCCCCAGAACGGACCACAGGGGAGAACCGGAAGATCCCCACCAGCAACCACATACAGTGACCCCCCAGGGCCAACAGCGACAAACTCATAGGCCCCCGTCGGCACCTGCCGCACCGATGTAGGTCCAGGTCCAGGCACCGAGGCCCGGGCACCGAGGACTCACACCACCCAGGCCAAGGCCTGACAGGGCCAGAGGACCCGAGCCCCACCAGGCAGACACCAGGCCGAGCCGACACACGCCCAAGCGCCCAGCCCCCGATACCAAGGGCCCCAAGCGCGCCGGCAGGCAAGGGCACACCCCACCAGGGGGCCGCGCGATAGGGGCGCGATGCCAAGCACCCCCAGTTGTATCAAAGAGGGGGCAGTCCGAGTCTTGGCCTAACAAATACCCATTCATACACAGACACAATCACACTATCCCAACCTCAATCTCACATTCATTCACTCAAAGACATACAATAACGATACATTTCATTCTTATTCCCGATACACACTCTA